TTATAGATGGAATTCTACTTGGGCACTTAAAAGGAATTGTGTTATTGACCAAGAGCAGGGACAGAACTCTGGCCTTATTTGGGATTGAAACAGCCTCTTTGGAAAGCCTCCGAGGGCCAAGAACCGGCCCCGTGGCTGCTGTGAGCTCCCCAGGACTGTGTCCCAAATACTAACATCTTCCCCATGGAAGAAAATGATAGGTAGTGAGCTCCCTATCCCTGGAGGCACTAGGATCACGGAGTTCGAAGGATCTTTATATATCACCTAGTCAAGTTTTCTCATTTTGCAGATCAAGCGATTGAGGGCCAGAGGAGGAATGTGGCCAGGGTTAGAGAGCTTTCAAGGTGCTTTCTCAGGATGCTTCATTGAGACCATGGGCCAAGGACGCAGTAGAGGAGGTTTCTGAATATGGGAATGAGAAGAATGGGGTGGAGGGGGGAGTTGCCCACTGCACTGCACTCAGAGTCGGAAGACCTGCTTCAGATTCTGGTTTTGGTGTGAGTTAGCCCTGTGACCTTAGACTAGTCATTTCCCGCCTCACACTTCCCACCTCAGTAAAGGGATTTCCAAAGTTCCGCCCACCGTGAGCCGTGGTGGGTTGTGGGGTGAGGCTTCCTTCCAACTCTGATTCTGAGCCCGAGTTAAATGAGGACCAGAGGTCAGCCCCCTCATCCCCAAACTCACCTTGGAGCTCTGAGCCTCTGCGGTGGTGGACAACCCGTGGAGCGTGTTTCCTTCACACGTAGGTTTCTCTGCACAGAGCAGTCAGTCAACAAGAGGTCCTTGACCCTGGGCTCCGTGTGTGCTCTGCACTGTGCGGTGGGGAAAGCCGGGGGGCTGGGGGGAGACCCCAGACTAGGCTGGTCTGTGCCTGGTGGATGCTGCCACAGTAACCCCTGAGATGGGAGGGGCAGGTGGAGGCAGGGTCGCAGGAGAAGGTTTGGAGGGGATAAGGGACAGAGCTGGGGCAGACAGTTTGTGGAAACAAATATATATATAGTTAATCTGGTATCTCTGTCTCTTCCTACATCTGCGAGTTTTTAAGCCTTTGAGATGCGGAAAAAGGGAACTCGGCCAAATGAACCCAGGCTCAGGCCCCAGAGAATGCCAAGGACCCGCTAGGATTCTGGAGGCTGTGAGCGCCTGGCCCCTTCCCGAGCAGGTCCCCGGGTCTGGCAGAACGTGCCCCACCAAGGGCAGGGTCGGAGCCACGAGGCGGGCATGGGGAGCCGGGGTTGGGGGTGGCTCCTCCCAGCCTGCCGCGGCTCCCCTTGCTGCTTCCTCCCTCCCAGGCGCTTCCCATCGCCACAGGGCCTTCGCCTGGACCCAGAGTCTCCTCAGCCTGGCCCTGACTCCTCTACCGGCCCCTTAGTGACCGAGCCCCGACAACTCGGGTGCTTTCCACGGCCTCCTCCCTCTGGGGTTCCCAAATCCTCTCCAAGTGCGGGTCCAAACGTCCACCTTCTCTGCGGTCACCCGGCCTCCCCGGCCTCCCGGACTTTGGTGCCAGCACAGCCTCTCTTTCTCAGCAGGTCCTCAGACCCAGCTTTGTGTGCTGGGCTATGTCTGGAAATATAAGCCCCGTAAGTTACCAAGTCCGACATTGATGCACAGTGGGGATTAGGAAAAGGAGGCGGCCCCTGGGCCAGGCTTTGAAGGAGGCTACAGATGCCAAGAGGCATAAGTGAGGAGAGAGGGTGCCCCAGGCCCGGGGACCACCTGGGCAAAGGTGTGTCAGTGGGAGAGGGAATGTGGCCCAGGAAGCAGTAGCGGGGAGAGCCGGAAGAGCAGAGATAGGAAATAGGCAGAAAATTGGGGGCTTTCAGGTTTAACCTTTATTCACCCCAAAATGCGCTAGCTTTCTGTCATCCTGTATTTCCCCAATCAGTGGTAACGGTATGACTGTGTGAGTGTGGGTGGAGGGGGTGTGTGTGTGAAAGACTGTGAGTGTATGTGTGTGAGTGTGTGTGTCTGCATTTTACATTAAAAGGGGTCCTCGTAGTACTGGCGAACTGCACCCTGCCACATACTCAGCTCTGGTCCTGGGTTCGGTCTTTTCTCCCTAAATGTTTGTTGATTGACTCATCATTTGATAAGGGAGAAGAGAGGCCCTGGGAAGGAAGCGGTCCAGCTCTTGGTAAATGAGAAAGCTCCTCAGCTACGCCCCCCACCCCCACCCCTCGGATGGAGGCCCATCTGCCCTGGGGGTGCCATCCCAAGAGGCTTCCACAACCCCTCCTTCCCCTGACTCCCAGCTAAGAGCGGCCAGCCAGAAAAAGGACGGGCTTGGTAGGCCCCCGCTGTGTGTCGGGAGCCTGCGGGGCCTGGATGAGGCACACCCAGGGCGCTGGCCCGAGGGATGCTCAGAGGCTCCTGGTGTGGAACTGAGTCACCCTGGCCTCACCCACTCTGGGGTGAGGCCTGGGAAACCCATCGCCACCAAGTCCACTGTGAGCAGAAATCCTCACTGCCCTGCAGCCCAGAGCAGACCCGGGCACCTCCCAAACTCTGCAGGATGGGCAGAACCCCCCCATGCCAGGGCAGCCACACCCGGTAAGAGCTCAGAAAGAGGCCGGGGCAGTGCTGACTGGCCAGGAGCCTCAGCATCAGGGGCTGAGAAAGAGAGTTTACATCTTAGAGGCGTTCCAGGGTCATGGAGGGAACTCAAGTGTTTTGAGAATCCAAAGGAGATGGAGTCAGGAAGACCCGAGTTCAAATCCAGCCTCACACCTTCCTAGCTCTGTGACCCTGGACAAATCACTTACCTTTTGTTGCGTTGGTTTCCTCCTCTGTAAAACGGGGATGGTAATAAATAACACCTGCCTCCCAGGGTTGTTGTGAGGATCAAATGAAGTGCTTAGCACAGTGCCTGGCACATGATAGGTGCCTAATAAATGCTTATTGAGGGCCTGACTGCTAGTCATTTCTTCCTTTCTCCCACTTAGAATCTGTAGCCCAGCACACACAGTTGTCTAAAATTCATGAGGCTGGTCGAATCAAAGATTTAGAGTTAATCCGGACCTCCAAAGCCATCTGGTTCTTCTCCCTCATTTTGCAGATGAGGAATGGAGACAGAGGTATCTAAGGGACACGAAGAAAGTCCACCCCAAAGGTGGATTTAAAAAAACAATCAGGTTCTGATGACTTTAGAGTGAGGCTCTTTCTCCTGCACTTAGGACTCTGGGGGACCATCTTTGAGTCACATCTTGGGTGTCCCTGAGATCTGGGGGGATGAGGCATGGGCCTGAATGGCGCTGGACGGATGTGCCTTTGTCCAAAGAAAAATGGTACGTCCGAGGGCGATGGTAGTAGCCCTCGGTCTACATCGGGAGGAAATCCAGGAACCAAAGTGAGGAGGCATGGTGAAGATGCTTTGGGACTAACACCCACAGTGGAAGGGGGCTGCTGCTTTCCTGTGCTGCTGTAGCTCACACTTCCCCTCTATGACTCAGTAGGCAGTCTTGGAGACTTTCTGTGGCTGAAAAATCCATCCGCCTCCCTCCTCCCCCTCCCGAAGGCCATATAATGATGAGCTTTTCGGATGTTGGCTCTGCCCGTCCTTGGACAAGAGATGTAGAGTCCATTCCTGGGGACCCAGGTGGAACTTATCTAGTGTGGTGGGAGTTCCCGTCGCTCAGGCATAGCCCACCGGAGTCCAGAGTCATTTCCATACGTGATGTGAAAGGCCCCGGCATCAGGGGATTTCTCTTCCTCTTGTATGGGCAGTAATCCAGCTGAATCACACTTTCATCCTGCTGGTGTGGGGAGCAGAAGTTGGAGATAAATGCCAAAGTTGTAGACCCTTGGAAATGAACATGTTTTATTCTGATAATGAAAAGATGAGAGGGAATAGTAGCAGTAGTAGCTAAGATTTATATAGTGCTTTCTGTGGATGAGGTGCTGCCCTGAGCTCTTTACGCGTGTTATTTCATTCTCACAACAACCCTGGGAGGTAGGAATTATGAGCCCCATTTACAGATGAGGAAACTGAGGTAGACATAAATTAAGTGACTTGGCCAGGGTCACCCAGCTAGTGAAGGTCTGAGGTCAGATTTGAACCCAGATCTTCCTGACTCCAGGCTTGGTCCTCTCTCCACATGCTACAAGCGGCCTCTAATGAGAAAGGCCAGGAGGCTGAGCACTCTAGTCTCTCAAAGGAGTGTGGGGTAAGAGACAAGAATAAAATCCACTTGCTCTAAATATTGTCAGTCTTGGGGTACAAGAGGTTCCGAGCAAAATCAGCCCGTAGCTTACATCTGTTGGTTCAGTCCCTTCCCATCAAGTGCTGGTTACACAAAAGGTCATCACAAAGGGTGACTAGTGAGCACACCTGTTTATTGAAGCAAATCAGCAACCACAAACTGGAGAAGTTACTCAGATTAGGATACACTAGAAAAATATGCAAGAGGGAATGAGCCCTTCCGATGTGAGAAAGACACGATTAGCTCAGAGCAAGAGACAGGGTCTGAGGCCAGCCGCGGGGACGCCCTCTGAGGCCTCCAGGCAAGGAGACCTCCTCTCCCTCAAACCGTACTAGGGGCACCTCTACCAGGGGCTCAAGCCCCTAATCTCGTGTTCCCCTCCACGGCAGCTGCCCATGCTTAGTGCCCGTTATCTTTTAACCAATTAATATCAATTAGCTTTTACGAAGAGATATTTGCTGAGAATATATAGCCATAACAGAAGTGCAAACGTTTCCCCCAGCGCCCCGGGGCACACTCTCCCCTACGCCCCTTCAGCCCTTGGGGAGAGGGGTCTCCAGTCAAAGCTACAGGGTAGTCACGCTTCCCCACCGGCAGATTCGATGTTGAAATGCAGTAACACAGCCGGTGGGTGACGTGCTCCGTCTCGCAGGACGAGGCATCTTGGCATCTGGGTCAGCACACTGTTGGTAGCTCGGTCCTCCTGGCAGTCAGGAAAGCCTCAGAGGAGGAGCTGGGGCAGGCAGATCGAGGGCCAGGGAAACGTCGGTGGGATCGGGTGGGCGCAGGCCGGGGCTGTCAGACAGACTGGGGGTCTCTACATTTGGCGGTTACCCTCGGGAGCTCCTCATTTGTATCCTCACCTCCACCCTGAGCCCCTCGACTATCTGATCCCAGCGCTGCGGGGGACATCTCTTCATCCCAGAAAGCCCTCTCTAGCGTGACCCCGAGGGGCTCATGAAACCTTTTCTTCCTCTGACTCCCAACCGTGAAGTAAATGATGGGGTTGGCAGCGCTGTTCACGCAAGAGAATATTTTAACCACACCATAGAAAATAATGTTCGGTCTCTCCCTCCGGCAGAGCCAGTAAATAATAAACCAATGGACTGCGAAGGGCAGGGCACAGATGAGAAACACCAAGATGGTGACCAGGATGATGATGTAGAGCCTTGCTGGCTGGCGCTTTCGGGAGACCCTCCGGACTTTAATGAACAGGGTCAAGCCGGATACACACATCACTGGGGTGAAGACGCCAAAGATCAAAACCATAAAAAACAAGTCTACTTTCTGACATGAATTCTTATTTTCCTTTTGCACGACACAGAAATAGATAGCTACCAGATTCTCCAGGATGGCCAGAGCCCACAGTACTGCGCACACCAGGGCAGACAGATTCCTGGGACGGTGACATCGGTACCAGATGGGGAAGAGGACAGAGAGACATCGCTGAGTGCTGATGGTGGCCAGCAGGCTCAGCCCCAGGACGTAAGCCAGGTGCCTTGTTCTCCTAAAGATCTCAGAAATGTGCCAGGGCCAGGGACCAAACTCAGGCCTGTTGAGAATGCTTGAGAGAAACATGCAGAGGAGGAATAAGAAGTCAGCAATGGCCAGGTTGAAAATGTAAACAGAATAGGGGTTCTTCTTTATGCCGAACCTGAGAAACCAGATGATGGTCCCATTCCCTACCAGGCCACACAGGCACAGCAGCGCAATGACGATGGCTATTCCCAGAGGAGACGCGTTCCCGTCCTCAGTGGAGTTGGTAGCTGTTGGTACTGTAACCATCATTGTTAGGTGGGAGGGTGGACCATGAGACTGAGGCAGGGGAGCCCTGCTGATGAAAGATAAAAATAAACAAGTCATCCCTCCGTGTCCTAGGAGACTGACAAGACAGTGAGCCCTGTCCTCTCTGCCAAATGCACTTCTTAAAAAGTTCACTTTTATCTTATTTTCAGTTCTAATCTCTCTTTCCTCCTCCCTCACCCACTGAGAAAGCAAGAAAAACAAAACCCATTACAAATATGCGTAATCATTTACAAACTCCTGTATTAGCTGTGTCCAAATAAGGAAAAAGAAAGAAAGAAAAAGAGAAAGGAAGGAAGAAAGTAAAAGGAAGGAAAGAAAGGAAAGAAGGAAAGAGAGAAAGAAAAAGAAAGGAAGAAGAAAATATTCTCTAATCTGCCCTCTGTGTCCACCAGCTCTTGATTGGGAGGTAGTCAGATGGCATGTTCCATCATGACGTCTCTGGAATTGTGGTGGGTCATTGTGTTGATCAGAAGAGCCAAATCTTTCATGGTGGAGCATGGTTAACAATGTTGCTGTTACTGTATACAATGTTCTCCTGGTTCTGCTCCCTTCGCTTGGCATCAGCTCGTACAAATCTTCCCAGGTTTTTTCTTTTTTTTTTCCTGAAATCTCATCATTTCTCATAGCACAATAGTTTTCCATCACAATCGTATATTACAGCTTGTTCAGCCATTCCCAATTGATTATCCCATTAGTTTCCAACTCTTTGCCACCACAAAAAGAGCCGTTATAAAGATATGTGTATGTGTACATATACATATGTGTTTTGTTTTTGTGAGGCAGTTGAGGTTAAGTGACTTGCCCAGGGTCACACAGCTACAGTCAAGTGTCTCAGGTCCTCCTGATTCCAGGGCCAGTGCTGTATTCACTACACCACCTAGCTGCCCCAAAATATATATTTTTACAGATGGATCCTTTTCTTTTCCTTTGATCTCTTTGCAGTATAGACCTAGTAGCAGTATTGCTCAGCCAAAGGGTATACACAGTTTTGTAGCCCTTTGGCTGTAGTTCCAAATTGCTCTCCAGAACGGCTGGACCGGCTCACAGCTCTACCAACAGTGCGTTAGCGTCCCTGTTTGTCCACATCCCCTCCAGCATCTGTATTTTTTTCCCTGTCATCTTAGCTGATCTTATGGGTTTAACTTAATTTGAAAATTTTAAACTCAAAGTTGTTTTAATTTACATTTCTCTATTAGTAATTTAGAGCATTTTATGTGGTTGTTGATAGCTTAGATTTCTTCCTCTGAAAACTGTCTATTCTTATCCTTTGACCATTTATCATTTGGGAAATGGCTCATATTCTTGTAAATTTGACTCATTTCCCTATATATGTTAGAAATTAGATTTTTATTAGAGAAACTTGCTACAATGATACCCCCCCCTCCAGTTTCCTGCTTTTCTTCTTCTTCTTCTTTTTCTTTTTTTTGCATTTTTTTATTTAGGCAATTGGGGTTAAGTGACTTGCCCAGGGTCACACAGCTAGTAAGTGTCAAGTGTTTGGTCTGAGGCTGGAATTGAACTCAGGTCCTCCTGACTTCAGGGCCGGTGCTCTATCCGCTGTGCCCCCTAGCTGCCCCCTCCTGTTTTTCTTCTAGTTTTAGCTGCAATAGTTTTGTTTGTGCAAAAACTTCAATTTCATGTAATAAAAATTAACCCTGTGTTATCTCCCAGGAACCTCTTTATCCCTTGTTTGGTTATGAACTCTTCACCTATCCATAAATTTGACAGATAATTTCTTCTATGCTCTACTAATTTGCCTGTGATGTCATCCTTTATGTCTAAATCAGCTACCCATTTTGACCTTATCTTCATATGTGGTGTGAGGTGTTGGTTTATAATTAGTTTCTGCCAGACTACTTTCTGGTTCTCCCAGCAGTTTTTGTCAAATAGTGAGTTCTTGTCTCAAAAGCTCGAATCTTCGGGTTTGTCAAATATTAGATTACTACAATCAGTTATTGCTGCGTATTATGTACCTAATCTCTCCCACTAATCCATCACTCTATTTCTTAGCCAGTACCAGATTGTTTTGATGATTACTGCTTTGTAATACAGTTTGAGCTCTGTTATGGCTAGGCCACCTTCCTTCATGTTTTTCCATGAATTCCCTTGATATTCTTGACCTTTTATTTCTCCAGATGAATTTTGTTATTATTTTTTCTAGCTCTATAATTTTTTTGGCAATTTGGTATGGCACTGAATAAATAAATTAATTTTTGTAGAATTGTCATTTTTATTATATTGACTTAGCCTACTTATGAGCAATTAATATTTCTGTAATTGTTTAGATCTGACTTTATTTGTTTGAAAATTAGTGTGTTCATGTAATCCCCGGGTTTGTCTTGGTAGGTAGATTTCCAAGTATTTGATGTTTTCCGTGGTTATTTTAAATGGAATCTCTCTTTCTGCTGGGTTTTGTTGGTAATATATAGAAATGCTGATAATTTCTGGGGGTACATTTTGTACCCTGCCACTTTGCTGAAGTTGTTAATTGTTTTGACTAGTTTTTTAGTTGATTCTTTAGGATTCTCTAAGTAAACCATCATTTCATCTACAAAAAGTGATCGTTTTGTTTCTTCTTTGCCTTTGCTCATTTCTTCAATGTCTTTTATTTTTTGCCTTTTTTTGGGGGGAGGGTGTGAGGCAATCAGGGTTAAGAGACTTGCCCAAGGTCACACAGCTAGTAAGGGTCAACTGTCTGAGGCTGGATTTGAACTCAGATCCTTCTGACTCCAAGACCAATGTCTTTTTCTTATCATATTTGCTATAGCTAGCATTTCTAGTACAATATTGAATAATACTGGTAATAATGGGCATTCTTACTGTTCACCTTTGTCTTATTGAAAGCTGTTTATCCTCATTACAAGTAATGCTTGTGTTGGGGTTTAGGTGGCTACTAGTTGGCCGGCTAGGTGGTGCCACAGTGCACAGAGCATGAGGCCTGGAAGACTCATCTCCTTGAGTTCAAATCCGGCCTCAGAAACTTATTAGCTGTGTGACCCTGGGTAAGTCACTTCACCCTTTTTGCCTTAGTTTCTCCATCTGTAAAATGACCTGGAGAAGGAAATGGCAAATCACTTCAGTGTTTCTGCCAAGAACAACAAAACATTTCATTTTAAGGAAAGCTCCATTTATTCCTATGTGTTCGTGGTTTTTTTCTGTTTGTTTTTGTTTTACCAGAAGAGGTATTGTATTGTATTTTCTCAAAAGCTCTTTCTGCATCTATTGAAATAATCATGACTTTTGGTGTTTTTGTTGCTAATGTGGTCAATTATGCTTATGGTTTTCTTAGTATTAAACCAGCTCTGTTTCCCTAGTATAAACCAAGCGTGGTCAAAGTGTGTGATCTTTGTGCTGTAATCTCCTTGCTAGTATTTATTTAAATTTTTTTTGCGTCAATATTCATTAAGGAAATTAGTCAACAGTTTTCTTTCTGTTTCATTTTTCCTAGTTTGGGTACCAAGACTGTATTTGTATCATAGAGGGAATTTAGTAGAATATCTCTTTGCCTATTTTTTCAAAAATTTATATAGTATTGGAATTAATTGTTCTTTAAGTGTTTGGCACTTGTAAAACCGTTTGGTCCTGGATTTTTTTCTTTGGAAATTGTTCAATTTGTCTACAATAGGATTATTTAAGCATTGTATTTCCTGTTCTGTTCATCTGAGCAATTAATATTTTTGTAAATATTCACTCATTTATTTCACTTTATTGGCATACATTTGGGCAAAATAGCACCTAATAATTGCTTTCATTTTCCCTTTATTGGTTGTGAATTCACTTTTTTCATTTTTGAGACTAGTAACTTGGTATTTTTCTTTCTTTTAAAAAAAATCAAAATAGCCAATAGCTTGTCTGTTGTATCATTTTTTTTTTCGAGCCAGCATTTTATTTATTTATTTGTTCAGTGGGGTTTTGCTTTTAATTTTATTAATGTCTCACCTGACTTTCAGGATCTCTGTTTTGGCCTTTAGTTGGGAGGTTTTAATTTGTTGATTTTCTAGTTTTTTAGTTGCACGCCCAAGTTGTTGATCTGCTCTTTCTTTTACTGAAGCATTTAGAGATTTGTATTTTTTTCCTAAGTACTGCTTTGATGACTGTATCCCACCAGTTTTGGTGTATTATCACATTGTTGTCATTATCTTTAATGAAATTGTTGATTATTTCTTGACCCATCCATTCTTCAAAATTAAGTCATTTAGTTTCCAGTTAATTTTTAATCTCTGCTTCCAAGGTCCTTTATTGACTGTAACTTTTATTGCATCATGGTCCAAAAAAAGAAATATTAAAGGACTATTTCTGCTTTTCTGTGTGACTCTGGATGAGTCAGTCTCTCGGAGCCTTAGTCTCCTTATCTGTAAAATAGGGATAATGTCAATCATCAGCTAATATTTAAGCACCTACTATGTGCCAGGCTCTGAGCTAAGTGCTGGGGATACCAGGAAAGGTAAAAGACAGGATGTGCCCTCCGGGGACAGAACATGTGAACAATTATGGACAAACAAGTTTTATACAGGATAAATAGGAAATATTCCGTAGAGGGGAGGCATTAACATTAAGTGGGATCCGTAAAGACATCTTTGAGAAGTTGAGATTTTATCATCTAAACTATCTGATACTGGCTAAGAAATAGAGTGGTGGATCAGTGGAACAGGTTCATGGGTGGGCAACCTGTAGCCTTTTTTTTTTTTATTTACGCAATTGGGGTTAAGTGACTTGCCCAGGGTCACACAGCTAGTAAGTGTCAAGTGTTTGGTCTGAGGCTGGATTTGAACTCAGGTCCTCCTGACTTCAGGGCCAGTGCTCTATCCACTGCACCACCTCGCTGCCCCCACCTGCAGCCTTTTATGAAGGGGATTTTTTTTTTTTCTGTGAAATTTGGATTCAGTCAAAAGGCTGCACTTGAGGGCCACATGTGGCCTCGAGGCTATAGGTTCCCCACCCCTGGAACAAGGCACAGTGGTCAATGACTATAATAATCTACTGTTTGATAAACCCAAAGACTCCAGCTTCTGGGATAAGAACTCACTATCTGATAAAAACTGCTGGGAAAACTGGAAAATAGTATGGCAGAAACTAGGCATAGACCAAAATCTCACACCATATACCAAAATAAAATCAAAATGGGTACGTGATTTAGACATAAAGGGCAATACAGTAAGCAAATCGGGAGAGCAAGGAATAGTTTATATGTCAGATCTATGGAGAAGGGAAGAATTTATGACCAAAAGAGAGATAGAGGACATTATGAAATGCAAAATGGATCATTTTGATTATATTAAATTAAAAAGGTATTGTACAAACAAAACCAATGCAACCAAGA